AGGATTTTTAAGATGTAAACTATATTCCTAGGATCAAGCTTTTGCAAGATCAGGTTAAAAGGAAAATAGGCTTATCTTAATAATCCTACATTGATAAAGTTTTTACCAGGTTTGGTATGCAAAACTCAAATAATGAGTTCTTGCGTTATTGACATAGATTGCTCTCTCTAGTAATTAGTTTTCCAAGACTATCAGAGGAGATTGAGCAAATAAGACTGGAATAATATGCTTCGGCATATGGGAGTCTCATATATGCCATGGTCTATACCAAACAAGACATCACTATATGATAGGGATAATCAGTACATATTAGTCTGAACTCGGACTTGATAACTGGTCTATTGTGAAAAATATCATAAAGTACCTTAGGAGAACCAATGATCTCATACTCGTTTATGGTATGATGATGTGGTTCCAGTCAGGTATGATAATTCTGTTTTCAAATCAGAAGAATATACTATGAGGTTCATGACTTAGTGTATGTTCACTCAATGGAGGGGAAATCAGTTAGTAGATTATTAAGCAGATTTCAACTGCTGACTCAAACCTGAAGGTGGAGTACATTGCAGCCTTAAAGGCAGCAAAGGAAGCCTTTTGGTTTGATCTCACTAATTTAGAGGTTGTGGAGCATACTAGCCTGCTTATCGAGATATATTGCTACAACAGTGCAGAAGTAGTCCAAACCAATGACCCAAGGTTCCATAGAGGAACAAGGTATACTGAGAGGAAAGTATCATGTCCTATATGATATTATCCGGCAATAAAATATGCTCATAGCTAAAACATTGCATTGCAACACAACTTTGTTGATCCATTAACAAAGGTGTTATCGATCAATAGTTTTGAATAACATTGGAGTTAGATGCAATTTGAATTGGCTATGAGGGCAAGTGGGAGCTGTTGGGATTTATATGCCCTGGTATAGCAAATTCCTATTTGGATTATAGTAACATATGTTTTTGACGTTTCTGAAATATTTATACTTGATACAATTGGTGAATTCAATGTATTATGTTTCGATTCATTATAGAATTGATAATGTCCACTTGATTACAAGAGATATTTATATATGTATGTGATGACGATCAATACATGAATATAAATAGTAATCATAAATTGTTCATAGTCGGTAATTATGGATGGACTCATAATTAATTAAAACTTGAACTAGATCCGCGTTAGGTTGAGATATATTGCGAGAGCCGTCGTATGCAATTGCTCCCTATCACTATCATGGCATTTGACTCTTAAGCATGAGAAAAGTATAAATTCTTTTATTAATTAATAATTACTTTGATTTGTTCGGCGGATACTTCGGGATTCTTAGACCGACACTTTGGGTAGTTATGTAATTAATAGTTAGAGGGTTATATTTTCAATATTTGCATCATTGCTACTTGTATTTATTTTGTATTGATTATGGTTGATCACAAAGTAAATTCAAAGGCCTTTGTGTGTTTTTAGACAAAATGATTTATTATATATTTATTTATTTAAATTATTATTTTTATCAAACAAATGCTTTTTTTGTGATCGAGCCGGAAATAATCAAAGGTACCAAAATAAATATATTAATTAAGTAATCAGATTGATGGCTTTATTTATCCGATAACTAATTATGCATAGAGGGGTCAAAGTGTAACATTGACTTAGAGGTTATTTATTATTTAATTGGAGTTCAATTAATTTCTTTTAGTGAAGTAGAAATTAATTTATGAATTAATTGAATTGGGTCCATGGACCGGACTAATTATTAATTTATTATAGCTAATAAAATAATAAGCCAAAAGGACTCTCACTCATAGCCTAACTTGATATTGGAATCCTATTAGATTTGAGACATGTGAATTAGAGATTGAGAAAGATTTATTGTTTATTTTTCTTTATCTTTATGTTGCCTATATATATATATGGTCTATGTATATTTTTAAGAGTGATTTTTGGAAGAAGGAAAAAGGAATTTATTTTCTCTCTCTAGAAAATTAGGGTTAATGTTCTCATCTAATGGAGGCTCCCACAAGCCTAGTTTTCCAAGATCATTCATGGAGGCTTATGAGTGATTCCTAAAGGTAAAACAATTACCAAGAAGATGGAGATCCAAGGAGAAGACATCTTGTTAAGGGATCTACAACAAGTGAGAATAATCACTTTAAAGGAAAGATTTAAAGGTTTACTCAGACTTTTGATGTAAGTATTCAATCTATTAATTGAATAATACATCATATTTTATTTTTGCATAAAACTTGTCTCTATGTGATGAATCAAGATCTATGAATCAAAATTCCTCGAATTTTTTTTTAAAACTAGCACGTTTCCCAACATATTGCTGCCTCACTTGCAAGTTGTCAAGTCATTTGGTGGCAAGGTATTGTGAAAAATCTCAAGTACAAGCAAGAAAAGCCAACAACATTATTTTGTGATAATAGTTCAACTATCTCTGTTACAAAAGACCCAGTTCTACATGGAAGGACGAAGCATATTCGCATCCAATATCATTTCTTAAGGGAGCTTGTAAATGAAGGAATTATTCAAGTTGAATATTGCAAGACGGATAAACAATTGGCAAATTTATTCACAAACCCTCTTGGTGAAATTTTTTTCAAGAAGAATCTTGCAAAGTTGGGAATGAAAAGCAAATTTGGTTTACGGGAGACATTGTTGAAAAATAAAACCAACTCATGTGTGGAATATATGAACTAACTCATGTGTAGAAGATATGAACTATAACTCACTGGGAGATAAAACACTTCTTTTAAAGCTAGTGTCTTATTTATTATCTTGTATTTTGTGTCTTTCTAGAGTCATATAGATGCCTATAAATACACGTTCTTGAATTCTTTTGTAAGTAAGAAGTAAGAAAGAAAATATATCAAAATTTGAGAATTTTATATAAAAGTTGTATTTGTTTCCTTTTTCATATTGAGTACCTCTTATATATAATTATATAAATATGTGATATTTGCAATATCATTGTTATCGAATGCTAAAACCATAAATTAATGAAGAGAAGTTTAAGTAATGACATGCACCTTTTTCAGATCTCCATTTACAGCTACATGACCTGTCAAGGTAAGAGAAAGACAAGAAAAGAGTAGAAAGTAATGGATATATCCATGTCTCAACATCCTTCCCTATTAATATAGCAAAGAAACCCAAGGCAAAAGAAATGATAATTTAATATTTGAGCCCAGAATTATATATAGCTGGATCGGATTCTCAACATCTTAAGATGGGTCCAATAAACATTCAGAATTTATATATAAATATTCTTTTTTCTTTCGGTAATTAAATAAATATTCTTTTTGGACACGTTAATTAATGAGTATGGTTCAAAAATGTTTATAGCGTTGTAACACGGTAAAATAGTATGATGATGTTAAATCTTAGAAAGACGTGTAGCCTGAGTACTGCATCATTAGTTACTTTGTGTTGCATCTAAGAGTGTAACAATTTAATAGTGCACAAGATCACACAGAAAGATATTATTAAAGACAGGAGAGGATCATTATAATCATTCTTGTTTTTAGTCCGGTATGAATGCAATCGGGATAAGAAGAGAAAATATAATATATATATATATATATAGGTATATGGACAATTCAGCGACACGTGCACCAGAAATATTATTATAATTGTGAAATGTCATTGCAACATCATGAATGACCTCATCAAGTATGACATCACAATAGTGTTTTATTGCACCAGAGAATTTGTAATTTGAAGTCTCCAAAATCATCATGAAATCATTGCTCATTGGGCACTGCATCTACTATTAATGGTCTGGTGCGAGCACTGGATCACTTGTCATCTTCCTTTCATGAATAAACCATGGACTTGGAGTGAATGGCAAGAATTTTCTAGCTTGCTCAACTCAGCTTGAAAAAACAATTTTAAAAATTCAGATTTTGGAAACAGAAGATAGATAGTTTACAGATAATTAAAAAAAAGAATTAACTAATATGAAGAACCGATCATATATTGCCATGATATTGTTCATCATTCCAGACTAATTCATATGGACAATTTGCTTCATTATATATGAAACTAATAGTCCTAACATTTTTTCTTTTTCTTTTTGGGAAGGTAAGTAGTATCAAAATACACACATGTCACCACTGAGACTCGAACTCTTGAAATTAAAAAAATAAGACCGTATTTGGTTTGTCTATAACTCCAACCAACCGAATCTTTTCGACTCCTGAACTCTTTTTAAAACAATGTGTTATATATATGTTCTTTGGTTTTAGTCCAAGTCCAATTTTAATTATTCACTTATTTACCGGGAAAAAAAAAAAAAAAAATGTCATGTATATTCTTTGGTTTTCCTATGAATTATTGACCTCAATGATGTAAATTGTGGTCTTTGGTGAGAGTGATGAATGAGTGGATGAAAATTATGGAAGCAAACAGAGGGGCTTTGAGCCATGAGATTCTGTTTCTCATTTATCTCAAAATGGACACCTGTTCTGCCAATTTTTTAAATTTGTATTGATATTTAGATAAAGTAATCAAAACCTTTGATTTATCTCACATATTTTATGATACTTTAATTAAGACTGAAGGTTTTGTTATCTTATGGCACTTCATCACCTTTTAAAATAAAAAATTTATAGTTCAAGTTCATATAGTTACATAAGTGGAGTGTGTGTTTCTTGCCCCTTAAAAAATTTACTTTAATTAATCGATTCCCAAATAATCAAAAACCTTATGTTGGTCTATCATATTTCACTATTTGCCCTAGTTTATATGTAATCTTCCATCTTTTTCTAATTCAAAAATTCCCTGTGTTCTTGCTGATACTCACCTTGGCCCACCTTGGCTCATCTTATCTGTTGACCGTGTGGATTAAAACATGGTATATATGACGTCCTTATTAATTTTTATTTGATTTGGAAGTGTTTCACCATTTGATTGATTTATACACTTGAATTATAGATTGGAGTTTCTTGATGGAGGAATCCTCAATAAAATAAAATCCATATAGTGTGACAAACTAGATAAATTGGCAATTCAAGTTGCATCACGAAAAATCTTACGTCTCATAGAGTTGCAATACATATTCACAAACACACATACACACACAAACATAGTATTCCTAAATCACGTACATTGGATTATCGTGCATTTTTATTTTTAATCATGCACTTCATCTTTTACAAATTTTCACCATCCATTGCAGGTAAGTCGATCTTCTCATTGATAAATAACAATTGGACTCCTGACAACATGTTTAGAGCTTCTCCATGAGAGTGAAGCTGAAATTATTTTTACACCCTTAGACATGGGTTGCGCTTTCACCACGACCTTGAAGTTGCGCTCCTGGAAGGCAGTAGAGAAGGAGAGACTCATAGGCTTGACAGTGATTTCCACTCCTTTGGGTGCTATAATGGTAGCATTGTAAATGGATGGAGAAGGACCAACATTAGTGACTGTCCTTTGGAAAACGACTGTGGTTGGGCGTTGAGTGTTTTTCAAGTGAAGTTGCATAGTGGGATAGTTAAGAGCATCATAACTTGTTGGAGGAGAATAATCCGAGCAATTCACATTTCCACTGAATAATAAGGTGAGAATGGATCCACTGTAGCCCTCCCGGCATAGAAATGGAATGTAATCCTCTTCATTATCAATATTGTAGACTAGGCCGGGGTTCACTGCTTTGGTTGGGTTCATTTGGCCAGCACCGTAGCCAAATTCAGCATCACTATCCACTGTTGGGCTCAAAGGTGTTGCTTTGACAAATATTTCAAGAAAGTTTAATTAAGAGCATGCATGAAAATTATATAAAAAGGGCTAAGCCAAGTACACGAGCCTCTCAACATATTATAAACAAATTTATGAGGATTATACAAATGAATTATACTATAGTGAAAACTTTATTGTAAGTAATTCTTATTTAAATTGCTTGGAAACTTTTGAAATTACATTGTAATATAAGTAATTCAAATCCTAAAAAAATTGGTGATGATCAACTTAGTTAAAAATCAAAAAAGAAACGAGAAGATAGGAGGTTGGTCTTACCAGTTGTCATTATAGCGGATTTTATTATAGCCGGGGGCCAATCCGGGTGGAATGACTTTACATAGGCAGCTACACCGCTAACGTGTGGACATGCCATAGAAGTTCCAGTATCAAATGCGAATTTCGAATGTTGGGTGTCACCTTTACGCCCAGTAAGAGTCACCAAAGGGGTGTATGCTGCCAAGATGCCGACACCCGGAGCTGCAATATCAGGCTGTTCCATAATACATCAAATGAGCAAGTTTATTTAACTACTAGGCCCAATTATGTATGGAAGAAGGTGCAAACCCTTAAAAGTAACACCAACACACACACACATAAACCTTGAGAATGTATTCTGATCCTGGACTTGGACCTCGAGATGAGGAAGGAGACATAAATGGAGCTGGGATTTTAACTTCTTCTGACTTGTATATCACTGCAGATGGTGATCTGAATGGCATAAAAACACCCAATCATTTCTTCTTATATTAAATAATCAAATATTTTATATCCTCATAAATCTTGTAATATAGTATATATAGCAGTGGCCTCGTAATAGAATATAGATATACCTTACAGAGTGTAAATAGTAGTCACTAATGGGTTCAGCTTCGGTGGAATTCACTGTGGTTCCAGGTGCCATGTAAATTAGGTCATAGTAAAGAATCCCGGTACCATAATTGTTGATAGTGCCAATCCCTCCAATGCTTTTGATATAAGAATCAGGTAGTTCCGACACTAAATTGCACAAGACAATCTTTCCTTTCACCTTGACAGGGTCTATTGAGTTTTCAATACAATTACTGTATATAAACCACACAATAAATTAAGTTCTAAAAAAGTAAGCCTTCATTAAGCAGATTATATATATATATATATATATATATATATATATATATATATATATTGATTTTCTTGAATGCTTAATTAATGGATGCATATACACCTTGCATTTAACTTGGTCGAAGATGTTTTGGCTGCATCAGCCCCCAAAACAAATGGGTACATTTTTCGCTTAGTATTGAATGCGTTTACTCCCCTTCCCTGCGTTGCCGATGTATTAATTAATTCTACTTAATTCACGATATGATTAAGACTGCAATAAATAAGTTGGGTTGAGTGCAGAGCAGCTAACTAGCTATTAGAGCTATAGATCAATCAGTCAAACATACCAGTAGCTGAATATATAATATTATTAATTAAATAAATAATGCTTACTGAAGTGGTTTTTCCATTGCCTAATACAACTTTGCTCCTGAATTGTCGATCCATACCAGTAGCTGCCACGGTTAATATCCAGGGTGCATGGTTTTTGACGGTACTGGGAGTTGGTCCATCATTTCCAGCAGAAGCAACAGTGATGACACCAGCTCTCATGGCCAAAAATGAAGCCACTCCATCAACGGTCAAGAGATCTTTCGATTGAGCACCAAGAGACATGGACAGTATATCAACACCATCACTGATAGCGGCTTCAATGGCAGCAAGAGTGTCCATATCTGAACAACCACCCTCTTCGCCTCTACCCCAGCACACCTTGTACATAGCAAATCTCGCCGACGGCACTGCTCCGCGTGCAGTCCCTCTACCAAGTCCATATACGCTTGCATTTGCTACAAGACGTCCCACAGCTGTTGATGATACATGGGTCCCATGGCCAACCACATCTACAGGCGACAATATTTCCCCAACTGGGAGTGGTTGTTCTTGGTCTAACTTGAAGAATTTGGCTCCTATAAGCTTGCTATAACATAACACCAACACTAATTAAAAAAAGCTCATCATCAAAATACAAACCACTACTCGCTTGCTCTGTTGCTTGTTTTGTTTTGTTTTGGTTGGTTGGTAATCTGTGTTAACTGTCCATTGTTGGCAACAAAAAATTAATACATCAAAGATTCATTGTAGCATTGTTAAAAAAAACGAAGCAAAAGAAAATACATCATAGATTCATTGAACGGACTAATTCTCACAAAATATCTTTACAATCTACTTCACAAGTTTCTATAATTAACATCTGAACTATTTTATTCCCCTCACCATTCACTTTGAATCATATAATGTGTTTGACAACTATAATTCGAGAGGTTGCTTTGAAAAAATAATGATATATATGACCAGTGATTCGAAATTAATGAAATATTTAATTAAGAAAACGAATTTACTTATTGCATCCTGAAAATTTAGCAAAGGGCCCACAACTTCCTCTCCATCTTGTCGGGGGAGGACCTAATCCATCATCCTTAAAACTCTCTGAATCTGGAGTTATACCTAGTCATGACACGTAATTAATAGACGTGTCAGCTTCCAAAAAATTTCATCAAATTGAATACACAAACACACACACACACACAACATTTCTAACCTGTATCTAGTACACCAACAATAATGTCGCTTTCCATTTTCAAATTTCTTCTTACTGATTGAGGAAAATCAAGGAAGTCCCACGATCTAGTCGTATGCAGTTTTTTATATTGATTTTTGAAAACAGTAAGCACCTCGTCCATGCCTAAAAATTCATAAATAGATATAATTATTATGTAATAACTAAACATAAAAGAATCATATAAAAGAAGTTTTACACATACTGGATAACTTTTTGACTTCATCTCCAGATAGTTTTGCTGCAAATGCATTGAAAATTTTGGTATAGCTATACACATGGGACTCCTTAGCATCGACATCACTGTTTCAATAGTATATGAACACACATGTGAACCCATCTAGATATATACATATACATACAATAATATATGTATGCACATTTGTGTGTGTGTGTGTATGGACATAAACAGCAAAACAAGAAGAAAAAGAGATAAAAAAAGAAAAAAAGAAAGTGGCTCAATCAACGAACCTTCCCTTCAATGTTGAGAGGATATCAATGTGTGACTTAAATAAAGATTCCTCGTCAAGTGGACGATCTCTTGAGAAGGGTGGACGATCTCTCAAGAAAACTATGTAAAATTCCTGCAAGTTAATATAATTATATGATTTTATTTAAGTATGTATAATATTTTTAATATTAATTGATATAGAATGATTTTTTTTTTAAAATGATTATATAACTATAAATTAAGGAAGAGAAGTTTAAGTTGTGAGATGCACCTTTTTCAGATCTCCATTTACAGCTACAAGACCTGTCAAGGTAAGAGAAAGAAGACAGGAAGAGAGTAGAAAGTAATGGATATATGCATCTTTCCACATCCTTGCTGCTAGTCTTCCCTATTAATAGCAAGAAACCCAAGCTAACATTATATATATATATAGGCTGATCGGAGACTCTATTTACAACATTTAATGATGGTCCAATCAAAATTCGGAATGTATAAATATTATTTTTATATTAGTCTACTAATGATTTAACTTCGTACTTGTAAACTAATATTATGAATGATTAAACAAACATCATAAGATCAAGATGATTTAATTAATTAATGCAAAAAAAGAGATTAAACTAAGAAAGGCCATCATGAAGCTAAAAGAATTGACCAGTGTAATTAGATCAATTTGAGGGGAGAGATTTACCTGTCTTTACAGCGGGCCAAGTAAATTGATGAATATGCGGGAATGAGGAGTAAGTAAGTTGAAAGAGATAACTTATATAGACAGATCAGGATTCTCTCTTCTACAACAATTTTAAATTGAAAATTGAATTTTACATTTAATAGTGTTGTAGCATTATAACACAATGAAATATATTATATATTGCATTGATGTTGCATCTTGGATATAGATTTGTTGCATGAGTGTTACATCATTATAACATTGCATTGCATTATAATAGTGTGTTGCAATATTATTTTAATGTGACAGAAACATGAGAGAATTGTTGCCTTAATTCTATATGAATGAAATTGTCATAAAGAAGATCCTGTTTTATATGTACAATCCAAAAAAATATGCACTAGATGCATTAATATTATAATTGTGGAATGTTATTGCAACATCATGAATGATGTCTTCAGCTGACATCACAATAGTGTTTTAATTATTGCGGTGGAGAATTCGCAAATTTTTAGTCTCCAAATCATCATGAATTCTGGAATGCTAAACATGATATATGGATTAAGGAAGAGAAGTTTAAGTAGTGGCGTGCACCTTTTTTCAGATCTCCATTAACAGCTGCAAGACCTGTCAAGATAAGAGGAAGAAGACAAGAAAAGTAATGGATATATCCTTCTTTCGACATCCAGCTTGCTGCTAGTCTCCCCTTTTAACAGCAAGAAACCCAAGCTAACATTAACAGAAAAATGGATAGGCAAAAGAAATGATAATTTAATTTCTAAGCCCAGAATTAAAAATATATATATATATAGGTGGCTCGGACTCTGTTTTTACAACATCTTATGATGGTCCAATCAAAATTGAGAATATATAAATAAATATTACTTCCAAACTAGTCGACTATGAGCATCTCTAAATGTTGTGTGTATATATTTTTGTAATATATTTTCCAATAACAATTAACTAGTGTCATGTTTGGACCTCATATAATTTTTACAAACCTACTTAATATAGGGTTAATTCATTATTGTAATGATAAAGAGGGAGGATAAATGAAATATGCTGATATGGCTATGTAAAAAAGTTGTATAAAATACACAATAATATTATACATTGGTGACGTGACAGTGTATCTTAAACTGGAGATAAAAAAATAAATAAATAAATAAAATTACACATCATACGTAACGGTGTATATTTTACACAAAAGAATATTTTAACAAACTTCTGAAGATACTCTGATAAATTAACTTAGTACATATTTATTTATTTTTTGGTTAAAGTAACTTAGTACATATTGATTGATGCTGTGGATCAAAATGTACATTATTTTTCTAGCAGTAGTGTTGATTGATGGACCTGTCTAATGCGTGTGGGTCAATATTTATATTATTTTTCTAAGACTAATTTTCATGTATATCAAATTTATATTTAATCCTATAAGTTATATAGACACTATTCACTTCTAGAATTGTAGGACTTGTATGGTCCAGTGAATTTAAATTGACACACAATAATTTTAAATTGAAAATGCAATAATTATTAAAAGGTGTTGAATTTTACATTTAATAGTATTGCAGCGTTATAACACAAAGAAATATGTTGTATTGATGTTGCATGAGTGTTACATCATTATAATATTGATTTGCATTATAATATAATGTGTTGCAATATAATTTTAATGGTACACAAGATGACACTGAATGAGATCGATCAAATATAGTGTGTTGCAATATAGTTTTAATAGTATGCAGGATGACACTGAATGACACTATAATTTTTTTTTTTTTTGGAACTCGGAACTCCCCTGGGCAGAGCCCTTTTGGCCCCGCCCCAAGTTACAAACCGAGAGTGTTGCAACCGGTCCCACAACGACAGTACCGTTAAATCAGGAGATATAATGGAGCGTTGGGGAGTTGAACCCTAGACATATTAGAACTGGGTCCCTCTCCTTACCGCTGGACCAAACTCCTAGGACAGGACACTATAATTTTAATAGTATACAAGATGACACTGAATGAGAACGACCAAAGGACAGGAGAGAATCATTATTGCCTTAATTATGTACTAATGAGATTGACATAAATTTTTATATGGACAATCTAAAAAAAAGTATGCATTAAATGTATGCATTAAATGTATATATTATTATAATTGTGGAATGTCACATGAATGACGTGACATCACAATAGTGTTTTAATAATAAAGAATTTGTAAATTTTAAGTCTCCAAAATTATCATGAAATCCGGATTGCTAAACATTCATACACTATTAATGGTGTGGTGCGAGCACTAGATCATTTGTTTTCTCTGGTTTTCCAATGACCCCATGTATGAAGGGACGAGTCTTGGGACACAACCAAAGCCCCTTGTTTCCTTCCATATTTTTCATCCACTCATTCACCACCCTCACCTAGTACCACCATTGCGTTATTGAGGTCAATAATGAAACAAGGGGCTTTGGTGTATGAAGGGACAATCCTTGGGACACAACCAAAGCCCCTTGTTTCCTCCCATATTTTTCATCCACTCATTCATCACCCTCACCTAGTACCACCATAATGAAAAAGGGGGCTTTGGTTGTGTCCCAAGGCTTGTACCTTCATACGTCCCAAGGCTTGTCCCTTCATACATTTCATTATGGTGGTACTAGGTGAGCGTGATGAATGAGTGGATGAAAAATATGAAGTGACAAGCCTTGGGGACACAACCAAAGCCCCTTGTTTCGTTCCATATTTTTCATGCACTCATTCAATCACCGTCACCTAGTACCACCACATGTGAAATGATAATGTAAGGGGGTTTACAGGTGAGCTTAAATTCTTGAAGTGTCTCTCGTGGAGAAGATCTAGTCGTTTTGTCAGAAGTCCAATTATTATTTATCAATGAGATGACCATTAATGAGATGAATATATACTTTACAAAACATATTTTTCTCCGACCACACTCCATCCTGTCCCACCCTGCTTAATAAACAGTTCTAGATAGGAATGAGGTAGCTATACTAAATAGAGATGTGGATGTCGTTCCCTGTTCCAAACCGTCGCGTTAGCATCCTAATTTTTAACTTTCCTATAATTCACTAATTTTAGAACAAATTTGAAATATCCATATCAGATTCATTAAAGAATTAAAGTATGAGAGATAAATCTAAAGTTCTGATTATTTGTTGAAAATATCTATAATTCCCTGTTCCAAACCCTCGCGTTAGCATCCTAAGTTTTAACTTTCCTATAATTCACTAATTTTAGAACAAATTTGAAATATCCATATCAGATTCATTAAAGAATTAAAGTATGAGAGATAAATCTAAAGTTTTGATTATTTGTTGAAAATAACTATACGAATTTAAAAGGTGACTGAATGATGTTGTCATGCCAATCAGACCCTAGTGGCCACATTTCAAAAAATAAAACTCACCTGTAGACAATTCCTAGATTATTATGTGGTCCCAATTAAACAATCATAGTACGATACTACTTCTGGATGGCATATTGGCATGTAACACGTAGGGACAAGTCATGGGAAACAACGCAAAATCTCATGACTCAAAGCCCTTAGTTTGCTTCCATATTTTTCATCTTCCTCACCTCGAGCCACAATTTGCAGTATTGAGGTCAGTAATTCATAGGCAAACAAAAGAATATACCGTGGTTAAATCATATATGGCACCATTAGCAATGGTTTCATGATTTTTTATGGCCTAAAATTACAAAATATCTTGTGCCATAAAAAAGTACTTTTGTATTGATGTTATAATGATATTTTATAATAATAATAATACATGTCATCTATATAAGATCCAGATCCTAAGTCTCCCTTCCCATTCAATTGCACCATCAAATCTATAATGCATCATAATGTAACATGTTAATTCAATACCTTGCCGTCCTTCTCATGCAATGTCCCAAAAATTGGACCATAAAAAAATATAAATAAACTTCAGCCGTGATACTTGAGGAGTAGTACGTCTGTGAGAGTCAAATTCAAAATAAGATCAACTAATTGCAAGAGTTTTACTTTTACTTTATTATGTCAATCATGCGAGAGTCACAGACTAGTTCCATTCCTCCAACTAACTGGGTTCGGGTTGCATTACATAATTGTTAAATATTTTCATTCGTTACATTAATGGCGTAGACAGTTAGCGGTATCATGAGAAGATTAGGATCCTATGCTGTCAATGAATCTTATTGTACCCATATTGTAGTGCAAAAAAAATATATTTTCAGCCCAATATAACTTATCTTGATGATTAAAGGCATATATACGCACACTTCAAAAATTAAAGCTCACCTGTAGACCCTCTTACATTATCATCCCCATGTATGAAGGGACATGACTTGGGACACAACAAAAGCCCCTTGTTTCCTTCCATATTTTTCATCCACTCATTCAATCACCCTCACCTAGTACCACCACATGGGGATGATAATGTAAGAGGGGTCTACGGGTAAGCTTTAATTTTTGAAGTGTGCGCACATATGCCTTTAATCATCCAGAGAAGTGATACGGGGTGAAAATATACTTTTTTGCACTACAATATGGGTACAGTAGAATCCATTTATAATAGAGGATCCTAGTCTCTTCATGATACCACCAACGGTCTACACCTTTAAAGTGATTAAAGAAAATATTTAAAAATTATGTAGTGCGATCTGAACTCACTTAGTTAGGAATGGAACTAGTCTGTGACTTTCACAAGATCAACATAATAAAGTGAAAGTGAAACTCTTGCAATTAGTTGATTCTATTTTGAAACCGACTCTCACATAGACCTACTACTCCTCAAGTATCATGGCTAAAGTTTATTTTTATTTTTTTATGGTCCAATTTTTGGGACAATGCATGAGAAGGACGGCAAGGTATTGAATTAACATGTTGCATTATGATTCACTATCAATTTGATAGTGCAATTCAATGGGAAGGGAGACTTACGACCTGATGACATGTATTATTATAATTATGAAATGTCATTACAACGTCATTACACCAGCCTATTACATGACAAATCTTTTCATTTAGTCCAAAATGGGCACCAGTCTATCAAAATTCCATAGGCAAACAAAAGAATATGACACCATTAGTAAAGTTCAACTCATTTTAATTAATTCCAACTATCGATATTCCAATTTATTACATGACAAATCTTTTCTTTTAGCCCAAAATGGGCACCAGTCTGTCAAAATTGATAACACAATAACTACGTAAAGATGTTAAATTTATGATTGTAGCGTACGTTTTAATATTTATTGCATTAATGTTATTACATTTGGGATTTAAGATGTTGCATTATGACGTAATATAATGCACTATCGTTCTAATAGTGCAATTGAATAGGAAGGAAGACTTGGAATCTGGATTCAATATAGATGGCATGTATTATTATAATTGTGAAATGTACTTTTTTATGGCGCGAGATATTTTATAATTTTAGGTCATAACAAATCATGAAATCATTACTAATGGTGTCATATATGGTTTAAGCACGGTATATTCTCTTTTTTTTTTTGTTGTTTTTTTTTTTTTTTTGGGTAAATCAATTTTTTTAAAGCAGACAAACAAACAAATACACAGCTACCCAAAAGGGCAGCCCAAAAAAGAAACAACAAACAAGGCACTAAGGCCCAACAAACAAGCCCGAAGGCAAAACACGCCCTCTATACAAATCAAAATAGAGGGACAAGCAATACAGAGACACAAACAAAGAACAAACTCAGTCAGTTCCAGTATTGCTATCAATGACTACACTCGGTAGTCTCCAATCCGCAGCCACACTCCGAGATCTTCTAGAGTCTTTGGATCTCATGGAGAGAAGCCAGCTACGAATACAGTTTTCAATAAGCTTCCACACAGCGCGAGGGGAAGACATAATCCCAGCATAGGTACGTTTGTTCCTTTCCTTCCATATAAAATAGATAGCAGCAGAAAAACAAAGTCTAACTGTAATGGCATCCATAAAATTGCAATTGTCATTCCAAACATTGTCAATCCATCTGGCAATGAATGTGTGATTACGCTCACCACAGTAAAGACCACATGTATGTTGAACATGATCCCAAATGTAGGAGGAGAAACTGCATTTAAAGAACAAATGCTCATGGGTTTCATCCTCATTCATACATAAACTGCATAATGTAGAAACTTCTCTATGACCTGTGGAGGATCTGTCCTTGGTATACAGTCTATTGTGAAGAGCAAGCCAAGAGACAAAGGCATGTCTCGGAATGTGTTTGGAGAACCACAAAATGTTGTTCCAAGTAGATAATGGGGCAAGAGGGAGAAGAGCATTACAGGTATGCTTCAAACTAAAATTACCTGTAGGAGACAAGGTCCAGGATACCTTATCCCTACCATTAGCATTGATGCCTGGCAGCTCCTCAATATTCAAATTAACAAGGTTCCTGAAAAGAAGAGGAACCCTCCATTGGCTATGTCGAATGAAACCTTTGACCTTAGAATGAACATTCCACATAGAGTTTGAAATTAGTTCAGCATCCATTCTAAGGGTAAGGGGGCAGAAGGTTATGAATTATTGACCTCAATAGTGCAAATTGTGGCACGAGGTGAGGAAGATGAAAAATATGGAAGCAAACAAAGGGCTTTGAGTCATGAGACTCTGGGTTGTGTCCCATGACATGTCCCTACGTGTTACATGCCAATATGCCATCCAGAAGTAGTATCGTCCTATGATTGCTTAATTGGGACCGCATAATAATTTAGAAATTGTCTACAGGTGAGTTTTATTTTTTGAAATGTGGCCATTAGGGCTCTAATTGGCATGACAACATCATTCTGTCACCTTTCAAATTCATATTGATATTTTCAACAAATAATCAAAACATTAGATTTATCTCTCAAACTTTAATTCTTTAATGAATCTGATGTGGATATTTCAAATTTGTTCTAAAATTACTGAATTATATATCTTGATTAATTCTAGGAGAGTTAGAAATTAGGATGCTAACGCGACGGTTTGGAACAGAGAACGACATCCACATCCCTATTTAGTATAGCTAGCTCATTCTTGTCTAGAACTGTTTATTAAGCGGGGTGGGACAGGATGGAGTGTGGCTGGACGAAAGTATGTTTTGTAAAGTATATATTTATCTCATTAATGGTCATCTCATTGATAAATAACAATTGGACTTCTAACAACATGACCAGATCTTCTCCATGAGAGCGAAGCTGAAATTATATATTCATCCTTAGACATGGGTTGCGCCTTCACCATAACCTTGAAGCTTTGCTTCTGCCAAGCATGAGAAAAATAGAGACTCATAGGTGCGACATTGATCTCCACTCCTTTGGATGCTATAACCATAGCATTGTGAGTGGATGGAGAAGGGCCAATATTGGTAAATGTCTCTTCGAAAATGGCTTTTTAGTGTTTTTCAAGAGTTTCTTTATGTGGTCCAAGACTTGTCCCTCAACGTGTTACATGCCGTCCTCGTAAAAGAGTAGCAACTTTTGATGGTTTAATTGGGACCATATAATGTTGGAGTGGTCTGTCTGTCTACTGGTGAATTTTAATTTTCCAAGTTAATGTGCATGAACTTATCATCATCAATGTCTGTCTTCTAGCCCACTCCAAATGTGTGAAAAGCTTGGATGATGTACAAGGAAGGCACAAGATTAGATAACTGACACGTAATGATAGGATTTCACTAAAATAAATTATTTTTACTCATATAACAAGATATAATTGGTTGATCACACAAATAACAAAATATTATAAGTGCAAAAAAAGTAATTCTCATTCATTAAAATATTTCTCCACACCAAAAAATCAAATTCTTTCAAAAAAAAGTAGAATTACAATTTAAGAGTATCCTCTTTGTTGTTAAGCTAGCTTCTTTCCTCCCTGGCTTTTAGAATCTATTTAGCTGAGTGTGTGTACTAATTCCTCATTTTGTTTTCATTTAAGTTTCGACAATAAAATTCACTTGCAAAAAGCAAAATGAGCAAGCATAGACAGTGCACTAAGTTATTTGTGAAACAAAGTTGTACTGTTGGATATGTATCTTAACATGAAATCGGCTCCTACAATCCAAGGATCTCTAACCATTTCTAGCATTTTTTTTGGGCAAATTACAGAAAATACCCTCCAAGTTTTCATCTCGTGCAGTAATACGATAGTAGGCACCATATAACAGGAAGATCCTACTTTTCTTTTTTCTTTTTCTTTTTTTTTTTTTGCTACAGGAAGACCCTACTTGACCATTTGACCTTAGTGCATCAACATGAATTTACCTATATGACCTTGGGTTGGTTTAAAGAAAATATGTAGAAGGGATATGGTATTATTAAATTACATTTTTGCCCCTCCTTGTAGATAATGCATGCTTCTTTCCAATATGGGTTTACTGTTGAAGGTTCTCTTTCTCCCTCTCTATATGGATTCATGTCATCATATTCTTGCAACTCAAAAATAACTGTTTATCTAATACATATGTATATAAATCAATGCTATGTTCGGTTTATTAGATAACAGAGACAAGCAAGATTCAAATCTTACATTTAATCGAGCTTATCAATCTTTCAATTCTTTGACCAAAATGTATGACCCTCACTATTGGAAAAGTGTCTTCTTTTTGTCTAGTGTGATTGTTTCTTGGTTGTTTTATTAGAATATTTTCTTCCAAAACCATTGTCTTGGCAATTCCAAACACGACACTAAGTTTTATTGTTGTGTCAACAATATGGATTGTGTTGACGGCTCGAAGGTGGTTTGTGTAAACATGTTGTTGCAAACTAGCTATGGACAACACTTGGAATTCAATCATGGGTTTGGTGTTGTAGATCAAGGTTTTGGGTCAGACCCAGTTGGGTGGTGGCTTCTAGTGGAGCAAATTTGACGGCGAGCCATCATCGCCACACTATTTGCGGGCAAACGAACCACTATCGCTACCATCGCAACTTGTGGCGCCACCACCACTATCCTCACCTCCAAACCACCACCACCACCACTATCCTCACCTCCAAACCACCACCACCACCACCATCAAAACACCATAGCTGACGAAGCCATATTGGAGAAATAGGTGAAGTTTTGACACTTAGACCCAATTGCGGCGGTTAAGTTCGATAAGATTAGGATAAGTGTTTTGGTTTTTGAAATTACATGAATACCCATATTTTTTTATGATGTGGCAGTATATAGTGAGGTCAAATTTGTCCAAACAAAAAAAGTTTTTTTTGTCAAAATAAATATAGTAATTTCAGTTTAATAATTGAGCTTTAAGGTTATTTTGGTCCAAATATTTTTTTATCCCTTCACTAGATGTCATATGTCAAGTGAATAAAACTACAAGGGTAGTTGACCAATTTATAGCGCCAACTTCTATCCGAATGCAAGAGAAGGAAACCTTGAGGGTGGTTTGTATAATTTCTCCTTCTTTTTTTCAAGTGGCCTACACCCATATATACACACTTGATGCAAACCGGCATTATAACGGATTGAACGCCTATCAATTACTTAAAAACATAAGTTATTGAGTAATATTATTTACCCACCTATTTATGTCCACCCCATTCCCATCTAAATGCGAGGCGGCCTGGACAAGACCCCTTCGACAACAGCAGCGTCCATGAAGGCCCCTATCAAAAAATATACAACCATCTAGTAGTTAAGCTGAAGCAATTTGGGCATAATTAATATCAAAAGCAGAGAGCCGAACCATGTCTAGCTGGGGTGAGCCGGTGAGGTGGTGCATTAGGGCTATAATTGGCATGACATTATAATTATGTGACTTTTTAAAAATTCTCAAATTTGTATTGATTTTCACCAAATAATCATAACCTTAGATTTATCAGACATATTTCACAATACATTAATTAATCTAATGTATTGGATATTCAAAATTATTCCAAAATTTGTTAATTATATATTTTGAATAACCCTAGGAGAGTTAAAATGCTTCAAAAAAAAATTTCGTTTTCTAACACATTCTTTTTTCACTATCTTCTCAAACAAATTTATTGGACTTACCTAGGTTCAACAATCATCATATCATGGACCATGTGGATCGAAAGAATTTATATCATATTAGAGTTTAATTTGATTTTATGGTGTTTGACCATTTGATTTTATATAATTTAGTTGTAAAATTGAACTGCTAGAGCGGGGAATTTTTTTGCGGGGAATTCCTTTGAATAATTTTTATGGGCTATTGGTGGAATTGGAGTTTTGGAATTGAAAATGATAAAATTAAAAAAAAAAAAAAAAAAAAAAAAAAAAAAAAAAAAAAAAAAGCAATTCATAAAATTAAACTAAACTTTTTTTCAATTCAACTAATTTAAATTCTAAAGCTTTGATTACACAAAATTGAACATAACCTTGCGATACCTTCAACTTCAAGAACTTCATCAACACATAAATGTTCAAAATTCCAATACACGACTAATGTGAATTATGCATGTTTCATCGTATTCGTCAATACGCGACTCTTTTTTAAGAGTTCCATACCGATCAATTCGGTCAATTTATACTGATTTTATCAAAATCTGTTATATTGTGACTACAACAGATACCGCCACTACAAGTCTTATAAATATTATCCAATATCTTAATTAGTAAAGCATAGAACTCCTTCCATATAGTTTGGTTGGATAAAAAGTAAAATAATTAAAAAGTTAATATGCCTTTTATGTCTTTCTGTTTTCTTTTTCTTTTTTGGCCCACTCACTCATAGTCGTATGATCAACAGTGAACCAGAAGAAAATACAGTTGAATTGTGAAGTTAGTGGAGGATCCATTTACTAGCCCATACTAATGATACAGACAAGGAGAAGTGGCATGTTTCCACGTTTGTTCTTCCAGAAAAAAAATAAAAAAATAAAAAACATTAAATTTTCTACCAATTTAACATTAATGGTATTTTTTTTTTGTTATTAGTTCACTTCTTCTCTACCAATTTTCGAACTCTAAATCTCATATAAATAATTTTAAATTTTCAACCTAAACTCTGATAATTAAGAATTAAAGAATATCTTTCATATAAAAAATTACATAGAAAAAAATTTATTGATGTAAAACATTTTACAACAATAAAATGGATTGCAAATGAAAAACTAATAATAATAAAATTTCTTAAATGGCCCAATCTATAATCGAGTTACTAACGATTTTTATTTTTATTTTTATTATTATTATTTTTATTTTTTTCTGGATGCAAGTTTCTCCAGGCCTATGAATAAAGTCCAAATCATTTTAAAAAGTAAACAAGAGTTCCAAACTGAATTTAGCAATAGGCCTGTTTTAATATAAAACTTTCGCGTTATAAACGAGATTAGGCCTATGAATAAAGCCCAAAACATTGGTGAATTTACACTCAGATGACAGCAAGATAGTCAGCGTTTCACTACAAAATACTGTTAATGTTGTATTTTTTTTTTTTAATATGTTTTGGAAAATAGTAATAATAATAATAGAGAGTAAAAGATATTAAATGAACATGGCATTCAATGTACAAAACTTGACATTTCCCCTTTGTTACAGTT